TGAGTTGATGGGGCACAAAATCTTGCGAGGACATTAACTCGTGCCGACAAGCTCGGGCAAGTTCTCCTTCTTGCGGTGTGATTTTGATGGACATCAACCACTTTGAATAGGGTCATAAAATACTATTTATAATATTTTTTTTATATGTAAGGATGATGTTACATTACATTCATATTCTTGAAATTCCATAAGAAAAATATTACATGTTGATTGAAAACATATATAATATTGATCCTCAACTCAATTTTGGTTTCTATTTTTAGTTTTGTTGTGGTTGATATGCTTAGAGACAAAGTTTTATTTTGGATTCAAGTTATGATATTTGATCAACATTATAGGGTGTATGACCTAAGTATCCGATCAAAGAAGATCGATAACATTATGTTAGATTATGTGAGATCCTATTGTTCAACCTTACGTCGAAGAGTTTCTACGAGACTTACGTTGGGAGTTGCGAGGCATTTTCGACGCTTGACTATACTCGATAAAAAAATATCAAAAAATTTTGAGATGAATTTATTCTTCAATACATACAAAGATCTTCTTTATAGTATTCATTCTACCGTCATTATTGATTATAGAAAATAAAAAATATTTTCTTTAAATATCATGCTCATTAACTATTTGGATTTCATATGTCGAGATCAATTTTTTTAAAAAATAAAATAAAAATTATTATATTAAATAACATATATGACATTTACGTATGAATTCACTGACCAATGAGACACGAGACGATTTACTAAAAATATTAATCATATCGACATTAACTAATGTTTCTAAATATCCTCTCTCTCTCTCTCTCTCTCTCTCTAACATACAACAATTGCATTTGTGAGAATCTTTAACCAACGAAGCCTCCATCAGAATAGACAAAGTTAGCAACCAAAAATTGAAAGGAGGGGAAGCTTCACATGCTAACCCCACTATCGAATGGCTTTAGAGAGTCACGGGCACTACACACACATCTAATAAATAAATAAATATATATCCCCTTATCTCGGAATGTGTCATACATACATACATGGATGCACATGCGAAATAAAAAAGAAGTAGACGAGAAATGACATGAATCAGTGACCGAGGGAAGGGAGGTCAAACTAGTTGCCATCGAACTAAGGACTCATACGTAGGGTTAGGTCGGATGGGTCATTGGTTTTTGTTTGATTGCAACCGTGATTGATGCACCGAACGTACTTGTTTTCGCTTTGTGACGCCAAGTCGGTGGACGACCACTTCATGATTTGGATCCATGTTAGGGTAGCTCTGATCCTGTGATCGAGGTTGTGGTGGATTTATGTTCATGCATGTGCCCGTGTTGTGTTGTTTAGGGCTTCCATGTGGTTGTGCGAGGAGGAAGAGATTAGATATCAGCAAGATGGATCATAAAACAAAGTTTCATCTTTATTTATTGGGATAGTCCTACTTAAAAGGCCCAAGAAATAAATCAATGGGAATGTAGCATAGTTTTAAGATATGTTATCGATGAGTTTATTAGATTAATAATTGAGGATTAATGCACTCATTTGGGAAAAAATAGTGTATTATGTGATCTTATCTCTCTTCTTCTTCTTCTTCTTCTAAAATTGTAGGGAGTGGATATTTTTACTCTTGTAATTGATTTTTGAGCCTTTTAAGTAGGGATTATTTTTTGTCGACAAAACTTTATTATGTGATTTTGATACTAATAATCGAGGTCTCTACTAACTAAGTTAGTCGATATATTTAAATTTATAGAGTGAAATTTTGAGTCTTTAACTTAAGGCCAATGAATTATATATATTATTATCAAATTAATTTTTTAAGATAAGATTTTAGTTTCTCTTGATATAAACGAGTTATGTATATCAATCATTATTAGACTAATGTTTTAGATGTAAAAATAAATTATAGAATAAGAATTTGAATTATCAGCCTAAGATAAGAATTTGAGCCATATATATATATACACACATCATTATTAGACTAATATCATAGATAAAAGAAAGATTGTAATGTTTTCTTGGTACGGTAGGAAACAAGTGAGCCTCTTCAAAGAGGCCCATGTTGATGTCCCATGATCAGCCAGCCCTATCCAATTCACAAATCCCAAAACAGCACTTCTCATCAAAATAAGACTTTCTTAGGGAATCAACATCCATATCCCATTCACAAAATTATCATATTCGTACTCGAAATATTGAGTCGAAATGATTAAGTGTCTCGATATAAGTCTAATGAGATAATTAACTTATTAATTTTATTAAATTTAATCTATAAGTCAAAATTAATAATAGTATACTCTTATAATTTAATTAAAAATAAATAAACTTTAGCATGATGAATTGCTACGATACGTCCTTTAACCCTCGTGCCCAATACTAAGTCGATTCTAATAAGTCCATCAAATCATATTATTTTAAAAAATGAATAACGAAATTAAAATTCGAGCTTAGAACGATTCAATGATCTATCAAAGTTTTACTTTGGATAAATAGATTTGATGTAATAGTTGAATGGATGGAACAATATAAATGTCGACATCTTAGGTAGAGGATGCCGAGTTAATTTTCCATATCATTGCTCGAAGAACAAATAGCTAATAACAATGATAAAATGGAGATCGACTTGCGGTCACGAGTGGATGAACGAATCAGTCACTTTCCTTAAGGAAGAAGGCAAAGCCCGCATCAGCATTCATGGCCACGAAGGAGGCAGCCTTTGTGATATGTATGACTTTGACTTGGGTTACACATACCCATTGTTTATAGCATAAATCTATTGCTCTCACCTTATCACTACCGGTCATTCACCCCAGCGTTGGACCTGTTCTTATGGTCAAACGTCTATGGGCAGAGATTGCGAGTTAGTGTTGATGCAAAGAATCATGCTACGTCAAATTTGGAAGAAATATTATTAGGATGTAGTAAACTCGATTACCACATTGTATTATTCTATTAGATCATTAGTGTTTTCTTATGGACATCCATCACTCATTTTGAACTAATAATCTTCATCTATTCTTATTAAAAATATATATAATATAAGTAATATTATAATTTGCTAAACTTGTATAGCTAATATTTTTAATCTTTCGGGGCTCAACATGTGGAGTGAGAATTAATATTCCAAAAATGACTAGATATTTTTCTCGTTTAACTCACTATAAAATGTTTATCTTAGGAATGATAATTGAAATCAATTATCATGGATTATTTTTCTCAGTTAACTCACTACAAAATGGATAATTGAGATTAATTATTATTCATTTAAATTATTTCATTTATATCGGGAGTATTGACTTAAGCGTCAGAAGGAACTCATATGACGTTAATCCTCGTGCAGATCAATCACAAAACATGCACTCAAGTCCATCTTAACTCGTTAGCGTTCATCCGAGCCTCTCTTTTAATTACATTAGATTTTTTATGCATAGAATTATGTGAATTGACATCCATAATATGAGAGTGCAATCAAAAAGTTAGCAAGCCACCAAGACCTACCACATTAACACAAATATGAGTAGAGAATATTTTTCAATAATTATCTATTTTAAAAATATTTTTATAATAATTATCTATTTTTTAATAACACAAGACCCGAGCTTGATGAGCTAATTAGCTTATCAACTTTGTTTGATCTAAATCACTGACCAAAATATTTAAACTGAAGTTGATAGCAATACACTCATCAGACCCTTATAAGTCAATCTTAATATTGCCAACTTTCGATGTGGGACTAATTAGGAATGTTACATAAACACTTTACGAAATCGTAATAAATCTCATATTAATTTTAGAAATCTATCAAATATACCTTTGAGATGAAACGAGTTGAGGAAATCATTCGGACGAAATCAATTAAGACCATTCATGTAAAAAAAAAAATGGTCATAGATCAATATTGTCATATTGATAGTAAAATATTTGAAGGAGTCTAATTCTCCAAGTGTGATAAGATTAAAAAAATAACGATGCAAATGAATTAGATGATACAAGATGGATGATTAAATTTAATAATAATAATAATATTATTATTATTATTGATGAGACTAATGCAATATCTCGCTTCTCAAATATTAAAGTTGACGAGATACCGTCTACACAGCAAAAGAAAACCAAACGAAGGAATCTCCCACCCCCAACCGCGTGAAAAGCGTGCGTACTTCCCGCAAGTCGAAATAATCGTGGATGCCGGTCCCTCCGTTGACGGACACGCGTGACTCCCACTGCTCTCCACGTCGCATTCGGGCGATGGTCACGAGACATGTGCGGCGGTCCAATTCTAACCATTTCGGTATTGGGGTCATCAATGACCGTACAGTTAATCTACACTCTCATCATGTATATAATATGAGCCGCATAACTTACTCCTATCGCCCTGCACCACATCCAAATCCTACATGACCATATAATAAACTCGATATAAAACAGGTAGCTTTGGATGAGAAGGTAACACGAAATATACGCCGTGCGACACTTCCGGTTTTGTGCCTCGTAAGAAGGCTAAGACAATAATAATAATAAATGGTGCGTGACTCCTCGTGTCATTATTTTAGCAGTCCTCCTCAGCGCGCGCTTGCGTTGCGTCCACACCTCGGATCCCGAGTTGCTAAACCCACGCCACTCTGCCGTGATGTCGTGACTTTCGTCGTGGGATCCAATCGCTCGGCTCGTGCTTGTGATACCCGATCTTACTTTCGCCCGGGTCGAAAACCTGTCTTTGTATTGGACAGAAGTATCGGGTCCACGCGGGCCCCACCGTAAATACATGTCCTTTCCAACCACGGCGCGGATATGATTGTGGGTTGCGTTTCCTAAACGGTCGATAAATTAACTTCCCTCCCCTTCGTGTCGAAATCCATTCGCGTCCCACGCACACCTCCCCGAAACGTTCTCCCCCCGCACAACAGCGCAGCACAGTTGCCGACGTCACTCGAGTGGGTCCCACGCGGTAGGCGATGTCCTCGCCATCTTGTTGGTTATCACGAACGAGACGATGTGAGCTCTCTCTCTCTCTCTCTCTCTCTGCTCCGTCACAGCGCCGCGTTGCACCACCGTTCATCCTTTCTTTAGTTTCTGCGTCGTTCCTCGAAACCGGTCACGTCTTTGACTGCCACCACCGGACATCAGCCATCTGAACGCGAGACCAGTGACATTAATAAAAGAATTCCAGTCCTCGGCAACTGGAATCTTCGCCTTCGCCTCCGCCCATTCCCCTTCTCTACTTCTATGCAAGGCTGCTGTTCCTCCTCCTCCAAGCTCTCCCTCCCTCTCCTCCACCCCATGGCTTCCACCACCACCGCCGCTGACCCCCAGGATGCCCGCCTGATCTTTGTCGGCGACCCGGATCGGTCGGCGTCCCCCGGATCCGGCTTCGGCGCCAGCAACGCCATCCGCACCACCAAGTACTCGCTGCTCACCTTCGTCCCCCGCAACCTGTTCGAGCAGTTCCGCCGCGTCGCCTACATCTACTTCCTGGCGCTGGCACTCCTCAACCAGATCCCCCAGCTCACCGTCTTCGGCCGCCAGACCGCATTCGTCCCTCTCGGCACCGTTCTTGTCCTCACCGCCATCAAGGACGCCTACGAGGACTACCAACGCCACCGCTCCGACATCGCTGAGAACAACCGGCTCGCCGCCATCCTCCCCCTTCACCGACCACAGGCCACCGCCACCGTCAAGAAGAAGTGGAAGGAGGTCCGCGTCGGGGAGCTCGTCCGCGTCGAGGCCAACGAGACTCTCCCCTGCGACATGGTCCTCCTCGGGACCAGCGACCCCACCGGCGCCGCCTACGTCCAGACCATCAACCTCGACGGCGAGTCCAACCTCAAGACCCGGTACGCCAAGGTCCAGACCGCCACCCTCGACCCCGAGGCCCTGGCCGGCGCCATCCTCCGCTGCGAGCCACCCGACCTCAACATCTACGGGTTCCAGGCCACCATCGAGCTCGGCGACGGCCCCAGGATCCCGCTCGGGCCCACCAACATCGTCCTCCGCGGCTGCGAGATCAAGAACACCTCGTGGGTCGTCGGCGTCGCGGTCTACATCGGGATGGAGACCAAGGTGATGCTCAACAGCTCGGGCGCCCCCTCCAAGCGCAGCCGGCTGGAGACCCGGATGAACCGTGAAATCATCGTGCTCGCCGTCATAATGATCGTCCTTTGCTCCGTCATCGCCATCTGCACCGTGACCTGGCTTCACAGGAACAGGGATACGCTCGACACGTTGCCGTTCTACCGGAAGATGGACTACTCCAAGGTTCCGCCCAGGGTCTACCTGTACAATGGATTGGGGCTGGAGATGCTATTCGCGTTCCTCAAGTCCATTTTCAGCTTCCAGAACTTCATCCCCATCTCGCTCTACATATCCATGGAGATGTCGAGGGTGATGCAGTCATTCATGATGACCCGCGACAAGAGCATGTGCCATGAGGCGACCGGCAACAAGCTGCAGTGCAGGGCATTGAACATAAACGAGGATTTAGGGCAGATCAAGTACGTGTTCTCGGATAAGACCGGCACGCTCACGGAGAACAAGATGGTCTTCCAGTGTGCCAGTATTTACGGGGTCGATTACAATGACGGAGTGCCTCTGTCACCGGGCGAGATCGCTCCTCATCCCGCCATTGGTAAGCTCTACATGTTCTTGGTCAATGAACTGGAACTGTTTGATGAATTGCTTCTATCATGTTGCTAGGTGTTGGTGGTGAAGTATTGAGGCCAAAAGTCATCGTCGACACCGATCGCAATCTCCTGAGACTGTTGGAAACAGGGAGGGATACAGAGGCAGGACTTCATGCTCTTGATTTCTTCCTTGCATTGGCTACTTGCAACACCATCGTGCCTCAGGTAGTGGACACATCTGACCCGGGAGTGAAGTCGATTGACTATCAGGGCGAGTCGCCCGACGAGCAGGCCCTCGTGTATGCTGCTGCAGCCTATGGTTTTGTGCTAATCGAAAAAACATCTGGGCATATCACCATTGATGTTCTTGGGGAGAGACAAAGGTACTCGCCTAAATTCTGGTCATGGTAGTTCTGAATTCTTGATACTATATAAATTGCTTGATGTTTACTCTTAATCTGGATAACACCAGATTTCTATCAATCAGGAGAGTTAAGACATGTTGCAGGGCATTTAGATCATAACTAGGTTTCGTTGATCCTTGTGAATCCTTGAAATTAAGGTGGTCTTCCAAGGAATCCAAACTCTCGAATGTATCATAAAATCCTATTTCCAAATCATCACTAGTATGGAGTAGATTAATTCATAAGAAAATTACCATCATGCTGTCTCCATGTTCTTCATTCTTTTCAAGTAGGAGTTGCCTTTGTTGCCTTCAATAATTTCTATTTTGAAAATTGATTTTCTTAGCTTCTGACAGATATTGCTTTATTACTCTCGAATATTGTAATGAAGCCTGTTTCATTATAGCGAAAATAAAGATAGTAAATAGAAAGCTCAAAGAATTCTACACAATGTGATTCTTGCCAGAAAGATGATTTCTATCTCGAAAGGCTATCTCACTAGTTCATGTGGTTGATTTGTTTTTATCTGCAAATGTGGCTCATTTGTTTCGCAAATGGCAAATGACCGAATGATTTGCTGCACCAGATGTTTTTATCTGTACAATTTGGTTTCGTTCTACCATCTCTTTGCAGAAGCCTTAATTTTCTTGGATCCTGTTATTGTTGTTCATGTAGGTTTGAGGTTCTGGGCCTTCATGAGTTTGACAGTGACCGAAAGAGAATGTCAGCGGTAATTTGCTGTCCCGACAAGTCTATAAAATTATTTGTTAAAGGTGCAGACAGTGCAATGTTCAGCATTCTTGATAAATCCTTCGATTCGGAGATAATACAGGCGACTGAGATGCATCTTCATGCCTACTCTTCCTTGGGGTTAAGGACTTTGGTAATCGGCATGCGGGATTTAAGTGGCACAGAGTTTGAAAACTGGAAGCTTTCTTATGATAAAGCAAGCACATCATTAGCTGGAAGGGCAGACCTTCTCCGAGATGTCGCAATCAAGGTAGAGTCTGATATCCGGATCTTGGGAGCCACTGGAATTGAAGATAAACTGCAGCAAGGTGTGCCTGAGGCCATAGAATCTCTGAGAGAGGCTGGAATCAAGGTCTGGGTTCTAACAGGGGACAAACAGGAAACTGCTATATCTATCGGCTATTCATGCAAGCTTCTATCAGACGATATGACCAAGATCATAATCAACAGCCATTCCAAGGAGTCCTGTAAACAGAGTCTTGAAGATGCCACTTCCAATTGCAACCAACTGACAAAGTTGAGAACACGGACCGATGAAGGTGGCAATGATTCTGCTAGAGTTCTTGTGGCCTTAATTATCGATGGCCCTACTTTATTTCACATTCTTGAAACTGAATTAGAAGATGAGGTAATTGCTAAATAGGTTATTGCCTTTGCTGGTTCTGCTTACTTACTGATGCTATCTAATCTCGGTGAGGCAGCTGTACAGGTTAGCCACTTCGTGCGATGTGGTTTTGTGTTGCCGAGTGGCTCCACTGCAGAAGGCTGGTATAGTCGCGCTTATGAAGAAGAGAACAAACGACATGACACTTTCTATTGGTGATGGTAAGAATCCTCTGTTGCATTGTTTCTATTGGTGATGTTACTTGTTACATGATCTTTTCCTCATCGACCAGGTGCTAATGATGTATCAATGATTCAAATGGCTGATGTTGGCGTTGGCATCAGTGGTCAGGAGGGCCGACAAGCAGTAATGGCATCGGATTTTGCCATGGGGCAGTTCAGGTTTTTGGTTCCTCTTCTACTGGTTCATGGTCACTGGAATTACCAGAGGATAGGTTACATGATCCTCTACAACTTTTACAGGAATGCCGTGTTTGTATTCATGATTTACTGGTAAGCATCAGAAGTAATACTCAAATTGGTCAGCTTTTTTCCATTTATCATGCGCAGAAATCTCTCACTGCAATTGTTGCCTTTTCTACTTAAGATATCCTATTTGAGTATCAACTTTTTTGTATCTCAGTTACAAGGTTTTGGATAATCTTTCTAAGTAGTACTTGTGATGTCTTTGAATTTATGAAATCACACTTTGTTTTAACTTTGAATAGGTAATCAGGCAAAACTATTTAATAAAAAAGAGAATCCTTTACAATAAATGGATTAGATTTAAGTCTCATGATTACATTTAATTTTTTGATAATACTCCTGTTTTTTGTATGAGTGTATGTGTATAGGTTTCAACATTTTGAGATTCTTTTGAAACGGTGGACACCATTGATTTGTTGGAAAAATACATTCACTTAACCTAAATTGCTGTTAACTGCAGGTACACATTTTTCTCAGCAGTCAGCTTGATGAATCCTATCAACGAGATCAGTGGGTTGCTATTTTCAGCTGTTTATACTGCACTTCCGACCGTAATGGTTGGAATATATGACCAGGATTTGAGTCGAAGAACACTGCTTGCGTACCCAGAACTCTACGGACCAGGGCTTCGAGATGAACATTATAACCTGAAGCTGTTTATTCTGATCATGATGGATTCAATTTGGCAGAGTCTTGTCATTGTCTTTGTTCCCTTTTATTTCTATTCAGAGAGTTCATTGGATGAAGCCAGCTTAGGAGATATATGGATCATTTCAGTGGTTCTGTTGGTCAACATACACTTGGCTATGGATGTGTTCAGGTGGAACTGGATTCTAATTGTGACCTTTTTGGGTGTCACATCCATAGCAATGGGCTGTATTATCGCGATAGATGCATCGCCTTCAGCACCTGGTTACTGGTAATTTCTTGCAACACTTTCCTTCAGTATCACATTTTCATGTAATCCTCAGTGTCAATTCCGATACCATACTTGAAGTCATTCAGTGATTGCATACATACATACATACATACATACATACATACATACATCTAATATATATTTTTTCATATGCCAGGGCAATCAATAATCTAATGGCTACCGAATTATTCTGGCTCTGCTTACTTTGTGTCGTGGTGTTTGCATTGCTTCCGCGAATTGTGGTTAAGGTGTTTGCAGCATACATATGGCCCGACGATATCCAAATTGCAAGGGAAATTGAGAAGTTTGCGAAGCAAAACAATGACAGTGCTTTGGAAGCTCCATTGCAGTCCTCTACAGATCCTCAGCAGGAGAATACCTAATCTTGTTTTTTTTTTTGGTTCTAATTTCTTGTTTACTTTGTACATTAGCAGATTATTTAGCTGTTAGATTCTTACTGAACTTTGTTTGCTTATTCATTAGGGTGATCACATCCCTTTATTTCATGTACTAAACCAAATTTTGGATTAGTTTCATTCTGCTGCTACTCGAGGTTCGGAGCGTTTCTTGTTGCAAGGATTGTCCATTTAGTGTTGTAGTAACTAAACCAAATTTAGTGTTCTTACCATTTATAACTGGATGAGCTGTAAATCCATAATTATTTCTATGATTCTCTCAAACATAAATTAATCTTCTATGGCTCTCCATCACTCTTATATAATTATGTTTATGATTCTCTCAAACATAAATTAATCTTCTATGGCTCTTCATCACTTTATATCATTCTTAAATTAAACGATTAAAATCTGCTAATAGAACATTTGTCTCGTAATATTCTCTTCGAACCAAACTAATTAGCAGATGAGTTACTTGCATTAGATTGGTGCAGCAATAATTCCATATTATCTTCCACAGCTGCCTCTTCCGTTTTCTTCTCTCACCACAAGACAGAAGAAAAAATGCCATGAGACCGAGAGAGTCACATCTGTCATTCAAGAGGGAACGTTCATTGCTCCTCGGAAATATACCTAGAATTTCATATCTAATCTTTTTTCCCAAACAAAGTCTTGGTTGGTTGTTTTGGCATGGTGGAAACACCCCTTAATGGCAGTGGTATTGGTACGGAAGGCTCAGCATTCGTCGACCTCTTTCCCGACCTTCCATGACAGCACCATCCTTAATCAATGGAGTTGAGCATTCTAAGCCATCTTGGACGCATACGTCCTCCATTTGATTTGATTTAGGAACGAGGAAAAGTCACACACACACACACACACACACCCACATCCATGCTCTTCTTGGTTGGCAAGATTTGACCGTGAAAGACATCGAAGTGACCGGTTGGGACAGGAAGATTTGTGGATGCCAGATATGATGTTGGGTGCAGTGCGGAATAATTAATAGTAAGATTATTACGTTGTTGATTTGCAAAAGGGAGTTGTGAGATGATGGGGGAGAAAGATGAGAGTCGCAAGTACATGGAAAGGAGCTTCACGTTGTCTTCATATGATAAGTTGGTTCATGTCATTTTCCTATTTCCTCCAATTTTTAGGTCCTGAAAGTATGTGATACAAAATTTATTAGTACGATAAGTGATAGAAAGAATATTCATAGCCTCTCGAATCTGTCATGTTGTCATCATGCATCAAGAAATCTGTAATCATGTAAGACCAGCATACTAAACCTCATCACCCTCAGCTATGGTGAATGAATGATACAGCCCCCACACTGTGTTCCTTGTGGTGTGGGATGAACTATGAAGCATGAACACCTGAATTGTTTTTGGTTTGTGGATGGATGGTGAAGGACTTGCCATCCTACTTTGATAGGGATGTATGCCAAGTAAACTATGGCTCTTCTTCTTCTTCGTTTCGACTGTAGCTTCTTCTTTTATATGTGTTTCAGTGAAGCATCTGTTCTTGGTTGTGCCCACCCTGTACTTGAGGCCGATAAAACTATGGAACATACATGTGCACTGTGTTCCCAGACAAATGAAGTAACTCGAGAGCTCGCCGACCTCCCTTGCTGACATCAATGCATCAGTTCAGGCTACAGATGTACAGAACCAGGCAAATAAATACAAGCTTTGTTGGACCTTCTGCACCTTCTCCCGAATCATGGATGCCACCATGCACACACCACCGGGGCTGCTCTTCTGACGCCGTTGTCTGTGCATGAACTCCACGCGCTTTGGACCCGAACTCCAAGAACGAGAACCTCCGAGGGAGAGGAAGATGATGATGCTGCCTAAAAGATTTGGATTGCCATCTCTCACACACAAAATTGTTTGCTTGTTTAGCTCGTAAAGATTTCGGTCTTTGTCTGCCGACGTTACGGTCGATTTCTACAGAGGATGTAACGGAGATACTCGTTGAGAGGTGTAAGGTTCTTTTAGGGCACATGCTTTGAGAGAATGGTGCATGCACCCTCGGACTCTTTAGATTACCCTATTTCCAGAGAAAAGATGCATGGCGAAAGCCAAACTATATGAACTCGATTGCATTCCATTAAGTTCAACATCAAGCACTTCTACCTCTCCCCATGGTTTATAGAATTCGTTTCGGCGTCAAGGCATCTATGAGTAGCTAGATTGACTGACCATCAAGATGGAAGATGCGTGGTTTAAGTATCATCCATTTGATCTACGAAAACCTCAAAGTAGAAGTAGGGATTCACATAAGAAACTCAAGAACGAGATGCTTTTTTTGTCTCAGCATGTTGTGGAGGCAAGCAGCAGCTCATACAGAACTTGTAGCCGCACAGCGACCACTTTTGGCGATTGCTATGCATCAGAAGTGAGAAATCAATAGATTACTTAGCAACATATCCGACAATTAGCCAAAAGCCTGTTTGGCTAATTGTGCTTTAGGAACACTGTTGTGTGTGACATGGTTTGGTGCCAAAAGGATTTTTAACGAGGGAAGGGGGAAAAAGGTGATGATTGAAAGATGATTTGTCCACATCAATGATGATTTCATATGTTTTGTTTGCTTACCCATTTTTCTTGGCAGTACAGAGAAGACCTGTCACATGGTTCTTCAGTTGGAATCAATAAACAACATGCAGTGCATACGTCCAATCAAGACAGAGAAAATGAAACAAGTTGGCAAGCTTAAAGTCATCATATGTAAGTGTGAGTCTGGCACATGGAGGGAACATAAAGTGACCAGCAACCATTTGTTTATGTCAAACTGGATTGTGCATGCATGAGAACTTTGCCATGGCTTGATCAGTTCTTTGTGTCTCAGGAGGCATATGCATGTTCTGATCACAGAACAAACCAAGTGTGCAAGTGTTCACCACAAGGACAAACATGACCTACTCTCTCCTTCCTGGTGATCCAATGGAGTCCTCCCCCATTCACATCACGTATGATGGTAAGAACAAGGTTGTTGTTTGGATTATATTGCTCAGTAATCTCCCAGTTTAAGAGCTTTGGTGAAGAAGATGACAATAAAGAAGTATATTTTACCGTAGGGGAAGTAATTGTCTCTGTGAGTTTGCCGAGCTTTTCGATATCCTCTACGTCAGATGAGCTTGCCTTGCTTCCTGTGGTTCGCTTTTAGATATCAACCAACGTACAGTTCCATTGGTATCATAAACAATGCAGCCAGGTGAGTGCAGCAGCACTAATTCTCTTATGATGCTCACTAGTTCTTGCATGTACAGTCGATGATGCTGTGTCTTCTTTATGAGGAACTAATGATGCTGTGGTTGGCTCGTAAACCCTAGAAGATGGTGCCTTAGAAACATGCAAGCGGTCAATCAGGACGAGCAGAAAGTTCAAGCTTGATACCAAGGAGGAGCTGAAACCATGGCCCTTTTGGTGGCCAAGGAAGGGGACAAAGGTCATTAACTACGTCTCGGTAAGACACCCACCGGCCCCCAGCCTCCCTCCGCGGTCTCCCTTGCGCCTCTCTCTCTCTCTCTCTCTCTCTCTCTCTCTCCCCCACCTACCGACTTATTATATTTCCCACTGCTGTTGTTTTCTTTACCTCATCAGCCTGCTGTTGTTTTGTCATCGGAACTGCGTGCATTGTTGCTGCCCACTCGCTGCATTCCCATGCAACGTCAGCCCTAATAATTTAAGGATGGTCATTCCTTTTGACCACCACCACCTCCTCCTCCTCGTTCAGACAACGCATCACGTTCCCCACACTAGTGTACAAACGCCAAACCCTACCTTCATCCCTCTCACATGAGCTAACCTAGCTAGAAACCCATGTGTTGGTGGAACCTCGGAGAGAAGAAACCTTAACTGCACCAGGGTTAGGGTTTCTATCCACTGCAACTCTGCATGATGAGATGTTGATTTAGTAGACGCCGAAGTGTGCGATTAGGTTGGACCATACACTACTCTGCAGGAATCTAATCAACAGTGGTAAGATAGCAGCAGATTGGTTCATGGTTAATCAAGGGAATTTGCAGACTATTAGTCCACTAATCGCCAGTACTCCCACCTGCTCTAGGTGTTATTAGATTAATGATCATGGTGACCTAATGCCTATAATATTGGAGCAAAGCTACAAACTGGTCATGTTCCAAATGACAGCCATGGTTAATCACTGCACACATATGGTAATGCATGCAAGCTCATGAAGAACACTTTGGTCCAATCCATATCTTCCACAGACTGCCCACGGCCTATATATAACTCACCACACGTATGCACATGTAAACCTCTCCCCTTCCCTCACGGTAATCCTTCCATTGACTTCGTCTTGCTTCCCCGTCACTCCAATTACCCACCTGCCACTTCATCCATGGGTGATCACGGGCGAGACCGCAACAGCAGCTCCACCCTGCACAGATCCACTGCCGACAGCACCGAGACCGAGCCGGTGCGCACCCGGTGGATGCCGAAGCCGGAGCAGATCCTTATCCTGGAGTCCATCTTCAATAGCGGTATGGTTAACCCTCCCAAGGAGGAGACGGTGAGGATCCGCAAGCTTCTCCAGAAGTTCGGCGCCGTCGGGGATGCCAATGTCTTCTACTGGTTCCAGAACAGGAGATCGAGGTCCCGCCGCCGCCAGCGGCAGCTTCAGGCGAGCCTCATGGCCGATCCTAGAGCTGCCCGGGGAGTTACGCAGCAGGCCGGGGGTGGAGTCCTCCCCCACGAACCGCCGACGTCGTCGAGCTCATCCAGCACGTCGTCTAATAACTCCTCCTTCCCTTGCTCGTCCTCGGCTTCTTCTTCGCCCTCCTCTTATAACTTCGTGATGGACGATGGCTCCGATGATCTCTTCTCGATGATCTCTTCTCAGACTCCTTTTATGTGCTCTTCTCATGTCCCGCGGTCACACCGTCAACCTGGTTAGTGCATGGCTAAGTTAATCTTCACGAAAGCATCCCTCCCATAGTGGAAATTAGATATGTTTGCTTGGTTGCACGAAACCCTCAATTCATTTCCTTCATTTCGGGCTTTTTGCTCTATGACTTTCTACCTAATTGGATCTGTGAACTCTTCCCATAGTCTGATTGATTGATTGACTGTGATTAGAGCTGTTCCCTTTCTTCTGTTCATTTCCCCACTAGATGTCTCGATCTGAACATTGAACTTTCAAGATCCATCCAAG